GGCTACTACACACACGTCTACCTCTGAGACCTCAATAAGAACCTCTAAATAAAGAGGTACAGGGAGGTTTGTGGTTGGGGAACAAATGCTTTTTTTGTGCCAAGATGATGGTACACACCAACTCCCCAATGGGATAAGAAGCTCCTGCTTAGAGCAGCTTGGGACCTTGCCCTCTGAATTTCATTTGTGCCCCCTATAATATCCTGTACAATAAACTGGCAGTAGTAACTGAAATGGGTTCCAGTTCTGAGCGCCATCCCAGTCACTTGTCAAACCAGGGGGTGGGCTGTAGGAATCCGTGGTTTGCAGGTGGAGAGTCAGAAGAAAGACAGGCCAAGGACTTGTATTAGCCAATAAAATGGGGGTCTTAAAGACTGTGCGGCCAAGCCAGGGGCATTAATGCTAGCCCCTGGATAAGTGTCCGCAGTCTCGTGTTGACCCTGGTATGAGAAACCCACATTCTGACATCAGAAGTGCTGTGAGCATGACAGCTTGGTGGCCCGAGAGAGAAAGAATCAGTATTTAGTGAAATGACCTACAAGGCCAAGAACCATGAGCAGGGTAGAATCTTAATACTAATGCTTTAGTGGTACAGACAGCTTGAGTCTTGCACTGTTCTAGCCCTTTGGTTAGCACGGGCTGTGCGTTTATCCATGGCTTGTGGTGACACAGATCACGGGAAAGCACAGGGTCTGCAGTCACCAGACAGGTGACAACCAAGTGCACACTCTAAAGGCTTGTTCGCGGGATGCGGCTTTCATAGCTCTTTCATTATGAGCCTCGCTCGGATCTAACTTTAGCACACAGAATGCACAGGAGACTGGAGACCTGGATTTGGAGATAATGACACCCTGGTTTTGCCTGGGTGATAGAAGCTGGGGCCTTTGGAGACAGGTGTTTTGATTCTGTCACCTCTTTGTCGATAGCCATGGAAAAACGGTGACAGCAAAGAAACCCACTCTCTGGATAAAGTTCACTACCCACACAACCTCGGTCACAGCGCCAACGCTTTCTTCTCCAAAGTTTATCTGAATGTCTTTGCACACATAGCAGTTCCTCAGCCTATAAAAGGGTTAAATGTGGATAAACTCCTTAAGTGTATACTCTCAGCCTACTGCACATCCTGGCTCATGCACAGCACACTGGACCATCTTGGTGGTTGCCTTCGTGATAATGCAGTTGGCTGGAAGATGTAGCTAGCGGCAGTTCTCCACCCTTGGAGCACAGGTACCTTACACTGCCAGCTAAGGCAAAATTCCAGGTGCTTTCTACCGAGTGTGCCTTGCTTTTGTGCCATCCGAGACGTCATCAATTTTAAGTTGAGCTAGCGTAAGCAGGGACTGTCAGCACACTGCTGCAAGCAGCCACACTAGCTGGACTATAAACTGATCATCACACCAGGCTCTCAGACAAGATACTCCATGTGTCTGGGTCTGTGTCTTGTTCAAGATGCCTGCTGGCCTCTGAGCTACAGTCACTATGACCGCTCACCTGACACTTCCAAAAAGATAGCCCAAATGAAACCAACTCCCTCCCGAAGCAGTTTTCTCTCCCAATGTCATACATAGGGGTGCCTTTCCTAATTTGCAGTCACTGTATGTATGCCCAGCAGTCCCCCAAAGGACCCCAAGGTACTTGCAAAAGCTTTTGTGTTGCTATGCTCATATGATCTGCAGATATGACCTATTTTTGGACAGAAAAGAAAAATTATGATCCCACTTTGGTCTTTGAAATGGTACCCAAACTGAGTACCCCAACAGGTGTGCGTGAGAGGCCAGCACTCAACAGTTTGCCATGAACATGTCTTTTAGGGACCACTGCTCAGACAGACACTTCCGGCTTGGAGAGTCTTGTATTGTGCAAGCATCACAGACATTCAGCTGACATGGAATGACAATTGCTTCTCTGATTCAGACTGGGAATCAGGGTCAGAGGAGGATGTGAGTGGCAATCAGATCTCCTTCCCTGTTGTCACTGTTAACGTGGTGTCCTTATTGATCTGTGCTTAGAGGGACCTACTGGGCGTCTTGATTCAGTGACTGGTGTCAGACTGTTAGGAATAAGGACTAGAAGGCATGCGAAAGAAGACAGGCTAGGCATGCTGTAGAAGTTCTACCTGCAGGAGCCACGGCACATGCAACGCGCTCAATGACTCCTTTTCCTTAAGGTCTGTGGACCCGCCATGGGATTCTAAAGAGAAAGTCGAAAAAGCCAGTCTTGCTGGTGTACTTCCGGCTCTTCCGCAGCCCAGCTTGGTTAGGCCCAATGGGACTCAGTACACGGGGAGTTAATTATCCGTTTTTTTTTTTTTTCTTTTCTGTTAGGAATTTACTACCTACTTTTAGAAGAGAAGGACAGGTGTCCTCCAGGGTCCCTGCGTGCTTGGTGCCAGCCTTTTCAGAGCTCTTACTTATTGAACTGTTCTTCCTTCCATCCAGCAGCTACCATTTTTTGCCTCTAAATTTTTATTTTTTTGGAGGGGGGTACATTTCCAGCTTCCTTGCCCTTTTCTGGTATCTATTGTCTAGTTGTATAGCTGTGCTCCCAACAAACACCAAGGACACATTCAAAAAGGAACCCACAGAACTTCCTTTCAATTATTTATTTCGAGTCAGGGTCTGTGTAGCTTCAGCTGGACTGGAGCTCGCTACCTAGACCAGGTTGGCCTGACATACGCCTGCTCCTGCTTCTGCCTCTGCCTCGCCAGCGCTGGGATTAAAGCCATGCACCACCACCCCTGCACCAGTGTGAAACGTCACACAAGCTGCAAGTAGTGAACAAGACTTACTGCCTCTACCCAACATAGTTTACTGTGCTCGGGGCCGAATAAACTACCCAGGCACCGCGCAGATAATTAGGCAGAGAAAAACTACCCAGTAGTACCGATGAATGTATTTATAGTAGTAGTGTCTACTTCCACTCTACAGGTTTTCAGTAATTATTAGAGACCACAGGCAAAGAAGATAGAATGAGAGCAATTCGTCCGGTCTTTAATACAACACTGTCTGAGCTGCCTTTTCTCCATAGTGATTTTGAGAAGGGTGAGGAAACCCTTCAGAACACAGACCTGCTAGGGGAAGATTTGTCATTAAAGGGAGAAAATGAAGGCTGCAAAGCTCGCATAGTAGCCAGAGCTTAGCTTTTTGGTGACTCCATTGTCATCGGTTTTTGCTGCATCCACAGATCCTGATGGCAGTAATTAGAACTTAGGGGGAGGAGGAATGTGAAGAATCTTGTAAACTTGTCTCTGAAAGCTTATCAACACAGGGTTTGGACCACAGGGATACCGGTTCTTACTGGTTCTGAAATTCCAATGCTCTGGCCTCTCAGCTCAGATCTGTGGAGTCCTAAACAGAACTCAAATGACTCCAGAAAGCATCTTTATGTTGAAGTATGAGCGGCGGGGCTGTGTCCCCGGCACCCCGGCCGCCTGGCTAGCTTATGCCCCGAAATAATTACACGGAAACTGTATTCTTTTTTTTTAAATATTTATTTATTTATTATGTATACAATATTCTGTCTGTGTGTATGCTTGCAGGCCAGAAGAGGGCACCAGACCCCATTACAGATGGTTGTGAGCCACCATGTGGTTGCTGGGAATTGAACTCAGGACCTTTGGAAGAGCAGGCAGTGCTCTTAACCTCTGAGCCATCTCTCCAGCCCCCCGGAAACTGTATTCTTTTAAACACTGCCTGGCCCATTAGTTTCAGCCTCTTAACCCATTTCTAATAATCTATGTAGCACCATGAGGTGCACTTACCAGGAAAGATCTTAACCTGCATCTGTCTGGAGTGGGAGAACCATGGTAACTCCTGACTCAGCTTCTTTCTCCCAGCATTCTCTTCTGTTTACTCCACCCACCTAAGGGTTGGCCTATCAAATGGGCCTAGGCAGTTTATTAATTAACCAATGAAAGCAACAGATTAGAAAGAAATCACTCCCACATCATCTTTATCTACCCAGAGTTCCTCCACCAAGGCCAAGGAGGTCCCACACTGGACTAGGTCAGGTGTGTGTGTGTGTGTGTGTGTGTGTGTGTGTGTGTGTGACTGAATTGCTTCCACACTGCTTTTTCCTTACTTCCAGGGCCTCTATCCATGGAGGTGTCACCAGGGTACCTCTGGCAATTTGAAAATGCCAGAAGGTTGCAAAACTGCCTTCAGTTAAAACAGATACAAAAACCACAAACAAAACAACAACAACAACAACATAAAAACCATTGGCACTAGTGAATAACCGAAGGTCCTCAGAGAACACAACACCTGGTTTCTACCTGCAGCTCCTCTAGGACATCTTCCACGCTGAACTCTTTCTTGCCACCCCCACAGCACGTCTCTGGGCTTAAAAGCCAGAAGATGCCATCTATAGCCCAAACCCTTCTGAAACCTGATTCTGGATGCAGTTTAAGCGAGGAATCTCTTGGCACTGAGGGTTTCCATCACTGCATTGGTCCATTTCAAGTGGTACCTTTTGGATTGTGAGGCCTCGAAAAGGCAGAAGCTGTATGCACAGGGTCTAGCAATGAACCAAGCACAGAGTAGGTGGTCAACAAACCTTTGTGTGAGCCCTAGACATGAGCTCCCTTCAACCACGGCATACATTCAGGTAACTGTCTCCATCTAGCCTGCAATGTGTAGATGTTTGCATACGTAGACACAGAGGTATATACTGGCCGTTTAGGTGAACATCACAAACTTTAACCCAGGGGCTCCCTGGAGGCAGCAATGGTCTTTCATTCCCCTTCCCGCGTTTAAAATCCAAAGCCCGTAGTCCCTTCGAGATGAGTCCTCTCTCCCTGGCCTCAACTGGAAGGGGAAAGAGTATTTTCTTTTGGTCCCCAGCTACCTAGGGACGCCGCCCAGCTCGCATCCACCAGAGCGAGTGGAGCGCAGGATGTGCAGCCAGGCCCAGGTCGGCCCCGCCCCTACGCGAACTTGACCGCACCCTCTTCCCCCGCGCTGACGGGCCTGACGTCACAAGGCACCCAGCCGCCGGCGCCCCGCGGTGCTCACTCCGAGCCCCGACCGGTCGCCGCTGCTTTCCGGGCGCTCACCGCCAGGCGCGCGCGTGCCCGCCCGCCTGCGTCCCTCCCCGTCCCCGTCCCCGTCCCTGTCCCCGCCAGCAAAGCGCCGCTGAAGATGGCGAGCCCGGCGCCCGGGGAGCGCGGCGCGCAAGGATGCCCAGCTCCGACTGCGGAGGAACCGGCACCGCGGCCCGGGGTTCCCGGGGAGGAGGCTGCATCGGAGGCAGAGCGGGCAGACGCGGGGCCGCAGGTGGAGGAGGCCGCGAGCAAGGTGGCCGCCACCCTGACCTGGCTGCTGGGGGAGCCCGTGCTGTGGCTGGGCTGCCGCGCCGATGAGCTCCTGAGCTGGAAGAGGCCGCTGCGTAGCCTGCTCGCCTTCCTGGGTGCCAACCTGCTGTTCTGGTGAGTGCTGGGGCTGGGTGGGGGCGCCCCGGAGGGCAGGTGACCTTGGGGCGCCCGGGGCCGGATGTGGCCTGGCCGGGGTGAGCTGGGCGCCGCGGGGGAAGTGACAGCTCTGTCTCACTTGTTCGGTCACCTGTCTGAAACAGGTAGTAACCCACTTCAACTTTCCTCCAGACGCACTTCCCTGTGAATGACTGTCACCCTGGCTGCAGGTGTCCACCTTCCAAGGGGAGGTGATGGTCGGCTGGCCCACGTGTTCCTGTATCTAGGGATGTCCCAGAGCTCTTGAAAACTTCGGCCCTGGTATTGTCAACTCGCAGGTCCTTTGACCTGTGTTTCCACGGCATATCTGGGCCAGCTTACAGTCTTTACACTGCTGCCCTTCATCAGCCACCGGAGAAGGGCAGTGAATGAGATGGTTTCCTTCCCCTGGAGGGTAGGGTTTACTGTCTTTGCTCCCAGATGAGAAAGCAGGAGGTAAACAAACAGGTGGATTAGGCAAGTCGCCCCGCCCCAGGGTTGCACAGCGGGGTGGGGGTGGGGACGGTAGTATTTCAGGCGAAATTACTCCAGAGGGACTGGACAGAAATGCTCTTTGAATAGCCCCCCAATCAACAGGTTTGCCTCACCAGAAAGTGTTCTGCGTAGGTAAGCACTAGGCAGTGTCTGGCTCCATCCCCCGAAGGATGTGCCCTGTCATCTGGTACTAGCTTTCCGAAGGCAGAGAAAAACCTCCTTTGTCTGTTGATTGTTTTCATAACAAACATGACCCTCACAGTGCAGAATAAGCACTTTCACTAACAGATACCTACTTACAGGACATAGATTTCTGAACCCCAAAGTTGGGAAATAAATGCATGAGAGAGACGTAACCTGTCATTTTTCTAGATTAGCCTGAACAACGTGAAGGGTTTTCTTTAGATCCCTGCTAGTCTTGGTTTGCTCTGAAAACGAGCTGTGTCTTGTTGCTGTCTGAGGATTTTAATTAACTTTGGGCCTCTCAGCTATTGCTGCTTCTGGAGTTTATCCTAAGTCTCCATCCTGTTGTAAAGTTACCTGAGCCCTTAAATAAAGAGGTTATATTATGTTGATCGAGGCTGGAACAGGAAGCCAAGTCTTACTTAGGGCCATGTCTCACTTAGTTACCAATAAGCAGCATGTTTTAAATTTTATTTAGATAAGAACAGCACAGTTCCAAAGTTTGAAGGTACAAAAATGTAAACACTTTGAAAATCTTTTCCCTTTGAAAATCTTTTCCCTTTGAAAAAATCTCTTTCCCACGCCCATCCCCAGCTCCCCAGCTTCCTCCCAGAGGCCACCAGGGCTGCTAGTTCTCTGTACTGTTTTTTGTTTTTTTCAGACAGTGTCTGTTTAAGCAGAAGCACTGTGTTCTGTGCAGACTGTTGGCTGGCATAGTAAAGATTCCTCATCTAAGGGCGGGTGTCTTGTTGATTACTTCCTTGCTTTTCCAATGCATAGAATTCCTTTGTAAGATGCTCAGAGTATTGAGCCTCCTAAGGAGGCTCAGATGGAGCTCCCAGCACTTGGCATTTTTAGTGTGATAGCTGAGTCTTGTATATGTATCACTTGGTATATAAATGAAGACATTTTAAGGGATGAATCCCACAAGTAAAACCGCTGGGTCAGAGGGAATGTGCCCTTGTCATTTGAATGGCTGTCACTGTATTGTCATTGGGGTTCTACCAGACTATTTGCCCATCAACAGTGTGACTGATTGCTTGCACTGCTATATACTCTTGCCAAGAAGATCTTGAAAAACGTTTTAATCTTGTAAATCTAGTAGATGGAAAGGGCACTTTGGTATGGTTTTAAATTTGTGTTTATCTGAGACTGTTTTCCTTGTGTTCAAGGCCACTGTAATTATCTGTTCTCTGCACTGCCTGTTTACCTATAACAGCTCTGGTCTGTTCGCTGTAGACACTGACCTTCTTCTTATTGACTTTCTCAAGTTCTTTTTATCGGATGATTTTTAGCATAATGATGTAACGTGTTGCAAGCATTATTCCTAGGACGTGTTCTTGTGTGAATGTGTGTTGCAGGTCCACGTCTGTGTGAGTGCATGTCGGATAACCAGAGGCCCCCTGAGGTCTCTCAGTAAGCCTAGAGCTCATCAATATGACTAGATTGGCTGGTCCGTGAGCTCAGGGATCTGCCTGCCTCTAACCCTTCCATGCTGAAGTTATAGATGCATGGATCTCTCCTGGCTTTTGTAGGGCTGGGGATCTGAACTCATGTCCTTATGCTATGTGGCAGCCACATTCCTGATTGAGCCACCTCTGTAGCCTCCCTAAGACAAATTCTTTAAGAGCAATGTTTGAACTAATGTTTTTAAATAGATAATTAAAAGGTATATTTGATATTTTTCATATGAGTATTGTCTCCCATCCATTTTATTAACCACTCTGAGGGAAAAACAAATAGTGAACAGGCTCTGAGCCTCCTTAGAATGTCTTATCGTTTCTGAGGGAAAAACAAATAGTGAACAGGCTCTGAGCCTCCTTAGAATGTCTTATCGTTTCTGTTTGCAGTAGCTGGATTCCGTGCATGCATTTCCTCTGACAGACAGCCACCCTGCTCTCTGAATTCTGAAGCACTTGTTGCTTTTGTGTTACGATCCATTGGACTTTATAATCCCTTTATTAATGATAGAACTTGTTTTGAAATCTTCCTTATTTGTAGCTCTGGATTCTATAAAATATAAAATTCTATAAAATAGAATTTTAAAGTTTAAAATAAAAAAAAGCCAATTTATTTCTAATCAAATGATCTTTATTTCCAGTCCCCTTTTCCTCCCTCCCTCCCTCCCTCCCTCCCTTCCTCCCTCTCCTCTTTTAAAAACAGGTTATTACTCTGTTATCCAAATTGGTCTCAAACTCACGACAGTCCTCCTGCTTCAACTTCCTAAGTGCTAAGACTAAAGGTGTGAACCATCATTCCTGGTTACAGATGACCTCATTTGGTTCTTAATATTCTGTGTCCTGAGAATGCTAAAGCTTGTGTTTTCTATGAGGAAAACAAAGAAATCATTATGTTAAAATAAAATGTGCTGTAGAATGAGACCCTGTCTCAAAAACAAAAAAGAAAAACCCACATCCCCGTATAAGCAGTGGGATGCTTTATTTACCATTGCTTTTCTTCCATTCTTGTGGAAGGTAACTTTGTAAATATATCATTTGCATGGCTTAATATCTGGTACTAATAATTACTTTCAGCAGTTTGAATTTGACCCCGAAATTTTGACTTTGCCTGACCATGATCTGTAAAATTAGTATCGTGCATTGGAAAACTGGGATCGAAACAGGTCCTGGGGAGCTGGATTGTCTCCAACTGGAGAGAGTGCATTCAGCAGGCATATGGAAGGTTCTAGGAAGGATCTGGGACAGAGTCACTGTGGATGGGAGAGGCTGTCCTGTTTTAATGGATTGTGCTTCACTGGACCTTGATGGACAGGAGTAGATCTTGGATTTGGACAACTGTCTAACCATAAAGATTACACCGGATGAAAGAGTGGGATCTTTTTTGTTTGCTTGTTTGTTTTTTTTCAAGACAGAATTTCCTCTATTTATATAGACCTCGCTGTCCTGGAACTCTTTCCATAGACTAGGCTGGCCTCGAACTCAGAGATCTGTTGGCCTCTACCTCCTGAGTGCTGGGATTAAAAGCATGCACCACCACTGCAGGAAAAGAGCCACATCTTAAAGATATACTTAATATTTTATCTACAATTCAACACAGAAGAGAAAACTACCAACGGGACAAAAGGTAGATGAGGTTGGCTAGGGGCTGTGGGGACAGATTTGGAGTACAGGGCTTGCCAGAAGCGCCATGTTTAGTGCTTGCATTAAGTTTTTCTGTGATTAAGAAGGACAAAAAGAAGCTCTGTGAAACATGCAAAAATATTAAAAATGGATAAACAAATTTGTGTTCATTTATTCCCACCACGGACAACTCCATAGCTGTGGAGATAAACAATGGGTACAGGTAACAGTGCAGACGAATTTTGCAAGTGTCATTTGAGATCCAAGAAGCCCAAAGTGACAGGCGCAATGGTCCAGTCTTACTGTGCTCTTGACTGACTTAATTTGCAGTTCTAAGGTGTGTGAAAGTAAACAAGCCTGAGCTAAGGACACACACACAGGAGCTAAAACCGCAAACAGCATTCCTCAGTTGGACATACATACATGTTCTTACATATGACATACTTAGGAAAAAGGCTAACGTGAAGGAGTGCCAATCGTATCGTGGAAAACTGTGATTAGGTGCCACTCTCCAGACTCAAGGTTTCTCCAGTGGATAATCAGGCCACAGTTCAGTAGGCCTGGAACTGCGCAAGGCTTCAGAACGCACTATATTACATTTAGTTTACAAGGAATGCATTTTCAAAATTTGTTTCCTTAATTTTTAAAATAGCTAATATAACCTCACAACTCCAAAGATTAAAGGGCAGAAAAGGGTAAACATTTTAGAAATCTTTCCCATGCCAGGCACCCAGCCTTCTCACAGGGGCAGCTCGTGTGAGTTTCAAACACAGCTGGGCCGGGTGGTGGTGGCGCACGCCTTTAATCCCAGCACTCGGGAGGCAGAGGTGGGTGGATCTCTGTGAGTTCGAGACCAGCCTGGTCTACAAGAGCTAGTTCCAGGACAGGCTCCAAAACCACAGAGAAACCCTGTCTCGAAAAAACCAAAAAAAAAAACAAAAACAAAAACAAAAACACAGCTGGAAGTGAACCAGTGAACAGAAATGACAGTTTTCTTTTTAAAAGATTTGCATTTGGGTTTCTAAGTGTGCATGTGGGTTGTATGTGCATGTGCCTGCAAGTGTCCATGGAGGCCAGAGGTCACTGGATGCCTTGGCCCTGGAGTTACAGGAGGTTGGGAGTCATCTGAGGTCCGTTCTGGGCATTGAACTCAGGTCCTCTTCAAGAGCAACCCATGCTCTTCACCGCTGAGCCATCTCTCCAGCTGGATACTTTTGTTTT